CCCCCCTGCTCTAACCACCAGACCCCACTCCCCTCCACAAGCCAGCTCTAACCACTACACTTCACTGCCTCCTGCCCCCATGTACTGTACAGCACCTGGATAGTTTCCTAATTCCATCCTACCCCATTCCTTCTAGCCATCCCCTGGGGGTGACTGTAGTCACCACCTGCCAGCTCTGGGGGGGGTGGCAGAGCAGCCCCAGGCCCCTGCGGCCATGCCACTGGGAGGCCCGCTGCCCTTTGCTGTAGCCGGGCACACGCTGGCTCTCCATGGACTGGAAGGTTCCAGGGGCTGGCGGGGAGCCGGGAGATCGGAGAGGCTGGGTAACGAGGCAGGGCCAGGTGATGATTCATGGCCTGGTCACAGGAGCCGCTTTAAACCCGAGCTGCTGTCTGAGTGAGAAACCGGAACTGACGGGGACACTTGGTCCCCGCTGGCTGTGAGCCGATGCCCCACGCCTGGGCCCCCCACCCTTGCCCTGGGGATGTTTGTTATCCCTACTAATGGCCAGGCCTGTCCGGCCCCCCCGCTCAGCTCTTGGCCTGCATTCCATCTTGTGGCAAGGAGTTCCACAGGCCAACTCTGCCTTGTGTAAACAAGGGCGTCGTTTGCCCCCTGCCAATGCCCCCTCGTCTTCATTTCCTCTCCAAACTCCAGCCTGGACGTTTCCCTTGCTAGACCCCTGTCCCTGGACCCCCTCTCTTTGCAGCCCAGGGGAAGCTGTTCCGGGCAGGTAGCATCGCAAACTCGGGGCGGTTACACAAGCAAACACAAGAGGTGATGGTGGGCTGGGCAGAGACATGCACAGCCGAGGTCAGAGGGAGGCAGGGCTGGGCAGCGGGAGCTGAGGAGCAGGAGTGGGCCCTGGGGCCAGAAGCAGGGTGCAGGGCTGAGGCTGGGTGGGCGGCGAGGCCAGGGCCAGGCGGCGAGGGCGGGCAGGGCTGCGATGCCAGGGGGTGCAGCGGTGGGCGCGGGCGGGCTGACGCGCTCATGGGCACGCACTGGCGGCCGGGAGCTGGGCTGGGGGAGGAAGGGAACACAGGACCGGACAAGACTCCTGGGTCACTCCAGCCCCGTTGCGCGATCCCCTTCCCACATCTCCCCGCCTCCAGCTGCAGGCCGGTTCATTCCTCGCCCCACGGGAGGCTGATCCATGGGGGTGAGAACCCACCTCTTGTTGCCAGTTTCAGCTCCCTCCTGGCCAGTTATTTGGTCCTGAGCCGCCTCCGTCCTTTAGCTTCACCGGCTCTCCCCGTCCCTGCTGTTTACCCCTGGTCCCCCCCTCCCAGGCATGCCCACTCTCCTTTCGTGAGCCAGGCCCCCTCCCAGCCCTTGTCCGCCCCCACGCAGCCGGCTCTCCCGAACGCGGCTGAGCCGCACTGCATGCAGGACATCTGGCCGGTGCCTCGTCCGACGGCACGAACCCGGCCCCACCTCGGCTGGAAATGCCTCCCCGGTGCCCCCGAGGGGCTGCCCGTCAGCCTGTGAGCGACGCGCACCAGGTCTCTCTCCTCCTCCATCACTTTCACCTAAGGAGCCCCCAGCCCAGAGCAGAAACCCCTGTAATTCAAGGGTGTCCCTTGCACGCCCTCCCCTTGAGTTTCATCCCCTTTCAGATCCTCCAGGGGTTTGGCCCGTTGGCAGCCACCAATGCTGGCCACGTGCCGGCTCTGGCCACCCCACGGGAGGAGCTGCCCTGGCCCCCCACGGGCAGGGCCCCGGGGATGCGCAGTAGGGAGGCTCTGGGTCTGTGCGGCAGAGCTGTGGCGTCTCTCACACACTCACGCCCCCGCCCGGGCCCATCACCCCAGTGGCCAGCTTTACGCAGTCTCTAGGGCGCAGATGTGGTAAGGAACGAGCCGGAGCAGGAACGAACGGTTCCCAGGGCATCCCTGCCCCTAGGAGCTCAGCGGGGCCGTGGGGAGGAGATGGGATGACATGGGGGGGGGGGGCATTCAGACACTCCGTGTGCTTTGTCCCTTGAGGAAACAGCCTGATATTCTATCCGCTCTGATTCAGGCCTGGGTGACCAGGCGGGTTATTTCTAGCCGGGAGGACTGGGTCGAATGCAATCTGCCGCCTCGGGGGTTGTGCTGCCAGCCAAGCTGGGGCGGGCCGAGCGGAACGCCCGCCACACGCCAGCGTCCCGTCCGCCAGGGACGGACCCCGCCGCGGCACGTGGGGGGTGGCTCCCACTGGGCTCAAACTAGCGCGCGGGAGGAGACGGGAAAAGGGCAGGGCTGAAAGGGGAGAAACCTGCGCCAAACTCAGCGGGCAGCACGGGGCAATCACAACCTGGCAGCACTTCGGGGGAGTTCGCGGCCCCTGAGCAGCCGAGCTGCTGGGATCCAGCCCTCAGCGGCTGGCGGGGAGCAGACATAGGGGGCACCCGGGGGCGTAGGGAGCAGGTTTAGAGGACACATTGGAATGCCGGGTGGGGGTGGGGAGTGGGTGTGCCACTGACATCCTGCCAGCATTCACCTGGGGGCGGGGGGAGCCCCACCACATGACATGGGAACCCCCCCAGCGCCCGGGATCCCATGGCCAGCCCCAGAGCACAGGGAACAGGCACAAACACTGTGGTGAATTGTGGCGGGAGGATCCTTGGTGGGCAGGGGCCATTCCCGCCTGGCAAAGTCGCTGGTTAACGACTCCTGCTCCTCCCTGGCAGCCGGACTTCCGGCCCCATGACCCCGGCAAGGCCCGCTAGCAGGCGGGAGTGGCCCTGACGCCCCACGTGGGGCCCCGAGAGAGGCGCCAGGCCCATGTGCCCATCAAGAACTCAAAAGCCTCAGGTTCCCCATGTCCCAGGAGCGGCGCTGGTGTTATTGGAGACGTTGCCAGGGGTCTAGGAGATGCCCAGATGCCCCCTGCAACCTTAGGGGTTGGCCACCAGCTCCTGTGCCTTTCCCCTCCCCCCGCCCCGGGAAAGAGAGTAGCCGCACGGGGTCCGGTCCCCTGTGCTGGGCTGCCCACCCTGTGCCAGTGACGCGAGAGCTGTTTACCTGGCGTGGGAGCTGCTCACCAGGGGCGGGAGCCGTTTACCAGACCCCACAGCTGTTTACTGGGAGTGGGAGCTGTTTACCCCCGCGCGGAAATTGTTTACCCTCGGGTGGGAGCCGTTTACCCTTGGGCAAGAGTGGGAGCTGTTTACCAGGGGTAGGAGCCGTTTACCAGGGGCGGGAGTGTGGAAGCTATTTACCGGGCATGGGAGCTGTTTACCGGGCACGGGAGCTGTTTACTGGGGCGGGAGTGGGAGCTGTTTACCAGGGTGGGAGTGGGAGCTGTTTACCAGGTGTGGGAGCTATTTACCCCGTGTGGGAGCCGTTTATTGGGCGTGGGAGCCATTTATCAGGCCCCATAGCGGTTTACCGGGCATGGGAGCCGTTTACTGGGCGTGGGAGCCGTTTACCAGGTCCCGTAGCTGTTTACTGGGCGTGGGAGCCGTTTATCAGGCCCCGTAGCTGTTTACTGGGCGTGGGAGCCGTTTACCAAGGGAGGGAGTGTGGAAGCTGTTTACCGGGTGCGAGAGCTGTTTACCAGGCATGGGAGCTGCTCACCAGGGATGGGAGCTGTTTACCAGGCCCGATAGCTGTTTATCAGGTGTGGGATCTGTTTACAAGGGGCAGGAGTGGGAGCTGTTTACCGGGGCGGGAGTGGGAGCTGTTTACCAGGTGTGGGAGCTATTTACCCCGTGTGGGAGCCGTTTACCGGGTGTAGGAGCCGTTTATCGGGCCCTGTAGCTGTTTACTGGGTGTGGGAGCCGTTTACCGGGCGTGGGAGCTGTTTACCCCAGGCGTGGGAGCCGTTTACCGGGTCCCGTAGCTGTTTACTGGGCGTGGGAGCCGTTTACCGGGTCCCGTAGCTGTTTACTGGGCGTGGGAGCCGTTTACCAAGGGAGGGAGTGTGGAGGCTGTTTACCGGGTGCGAGAGCTGTTTACCAGGCATGGGAGCTGCTCACCAGGGGTGGGAGCCATTTACCAGGCCCCACAGCTGTTTACCCCCACGTGGGAGCTGTTTACCAGGCCCCATAGCTGTTTATCAGGTGTGGGATCTGTTTACAAGGGGCAGGAGTGGGAGCTGTTTACCGGGGCGGGAGTGGGAGCTGTTTACCAGGTGTGGGAGCTATTTACCCCGTGCGGGAGCCGTTTACCGGGCGTAGGAGCCGTTTATCGGGCCCCGTAGCTGTTTACTGGGTGTGGGAGCCGTTTACCGGGCGTGGGAGCCGTTTACCGGGTGAGGCCCCGGCCACGCTGTTGGACCTGAGCCGTCCCATTGCTCAGCCGGCCGGCCAGGCTCCGCGTCACGTCACGCATCGAGCTGCGGGCTCACTGTGACCACACAGCTCATGGGTTATTCTGAGCGGCGCATCATGAGAGAAATATGAACCTCCGGGCTCCCTGCCCCCTCCCGCGCTCCGGGCCCGTCCCCTCCCCCGCGGCTCGCCAGGGCTTTCCATGAGAGGGCTTTTTCTGAGCGCTGAGCACACACGGCCGCACTCTAGCACCTTCCACCGGGATCCCCAAGCGCTGGGCGCTCACCCGAATGAATGAAGTCCGGCCTGCCCGCCCACGTGGGTCTGGGATCCCCCCCTCCGAGTGACAGATGGGGAAACTGAGGCACGGAGCGACACAGAGCAAAGCCCTGTGTGCAGCCAGCCGGGGGCCAGAACTCCAGGTGCTCATCTTTGGTCCCCCCTCCAGGCCCACATGCCCGGCCCCACTTCTTCCTATGGTGCCTCCCGGCGACCGGGGTCCTTCGGCGTTTGGGGGGGGGGCAGGGGCCCTCCTCCCATTGTCTACAAGGAGCGAGGATCCTCCCCTCCCCCTGGTTTGGGGCAGGTTAAAAATAGCAGCCAGATGTCCCCGGCGTCAGCCCGGGGGGGCGGGGGCCGAGCCAATCCCAACCCCCCGCTATCCTTAGCGCCCAATCGCCGGCCCGGGCGTTATCTCCGCGGGGAGGAAGAGAAAGTTCCTGCTCGGCTCTTACTTGTATATGGTCAGGGCCCGGCATTCCTGGGAGTCCTGCGTCCTGACGCGGGGCCCGGGGGGGCGGGCGGGAGGCGGCCCCTTAAAACCCCCCGGCGCGGGGCCGCCGCTTCACTGGGGCGCACCCGGGAGCCGCCGGCACAGCCCCACTCGCGACCGCCGCGCACGGGGAGAGCCCACGCGTGGGGCAGGAGCTCGCCGCGGGGGCTGCTCAGTTCCCCCCTCCTCCTCCTTCCCGGGCCGGTGAGTTCCCCGGTTCCCGGGCCGGTGAGTTTCCCCCCGTTCCCGGGCCGGTCAGTTCCCCCGTTCCCGGGCCGGCGAGCCCCCCGCGCGGCGGAGATGAACAGCCACAGCTGCCCCGAGGCGCCGGCGGCCGGCGAGGAGGCGGAGGAGATGCCGGCCACGGAGAAGGACCTGGCGGAGGACGCGCCCTGGAAGAAGATCCAGCAGAACACGTTCACCCGCTGGTGCAACGAGCACCTCAAGTGCGTGCACAAGCGCCTGGGCGACCTGCAGCGCGACCTGGGCGACGGGCTGCGGCTCATCGCGCTGCTGGAGGTGCTGAGCCAGAAGCGCATGTACCGCAAGTACCACGCGCGCCCCAACTTCCGCCAGATGAAGCTGGAGAACGTGTCGGTGGCGCTGGAGTTCCTGGAGCGGGAGCACATCAAGCTGGTGTCCATCGGTGAGTCCGGGCGCAGGGACACGCCCACGGCGCCGAGTGTGCCCCCGACACGCCCCTCACACCCGCAGTGCACGGTGTGCCCCCTGGCCCGCCTGCTCACGCTCGCGCCGCCGAGTGTGCCCCCTGGCACGCCTGCTCACACTTGTGTCGCCGAGTGTGCCCCTGGCACGCCTGCTCACACTTGTGTCGCCGAGTGTGCCCCTGACCCACTGCGCCTACACTCCCACTCATGCCCACTGTGCCGAGTGTGCCCCTGACATGCCTGCTCACACCTAGTGTGGGGTGTGCCCCTGATACACCCACTCAAACTCACAGCGCTAAGTGTGCCCCTGACATGCCCACTCACACCCACTGATCTGCATGTTCCCTGACACACTCACTCACACCCACTGATCTGAGTGTGCCACGGACAGCATGTGCCATTGACACACCTCGCACTCACTGATCTGCACATGCCGCTGACACACCCACTCACAGCCACCAATCTGCATGTGCCCCTGACACACTCACATACTGATCTGTGTGTGCCACTGACCTCTCCCTCACGCACTCTGATCTGTGTGTCAGACACACTCACCCATACACTGATCTGTCACGCACTGTGTTCTGTCTCTGACACCCCTGCACAAACCCTGATCTGAGTGTGCCACTGACACCCCCCCTCACACTCACTGATTGGTGTGATGCCACTGACATTCCCCCCCACTGATCTGCGTGTCAGACACACTCAACCCACTCACCCACACACTGATCTGTCACACACTGTGCTCTTTCTGACACACACCCTCACACCCACTGATCTGCCTGTGACCCTGACACACCTGCTCACACACAGTGATCTGTGTGCCCCTTACACACTCAATTACACCAAGGGGTCTCAAACTGGGGGTCGGGACCCCTCAGGGGGTCGTGAGGTTACTATGTGGGGTGTCGCGAGCTGTCAGCCTCCACCCCAAACCCTGCTTGCCTCCAGCATTTATAATGGTGTTAAATATATAAACAAGTGTTTTTAATTTATAAGGGGGGGGGTCGTACTCAGAGACTTGCTGTGTGAAAGGCATCACCAGTACAGAAGTTTGAGAATCACTGACTTAAACTGATATGTATGTGACACTGACACACCTACTCACACCCGCTACTTTCTCTCACAACGTGTTGTCGCTCACATCCACTGATCTGTGGGTGTCCCTGACACACCTGCTCACACACAGGGATCTGTGTGCCCCCGACACACTCACTCATCCTGATCTGTGTGTGACACTGATACATTCATACCCCACACCCGCTGGTCCCTGCATGTCACTAACACACACACTGATCTCTGTGTGTCACAAATGCCCTTGTTCCCCTTACACACACACACACACACACACACACAGATCTCTCTCGCACACTGTGCTCTGTCACTGACACACCCACTGATCTCTGGGGCCCTGACACACATACCGATTTCCCCACCCCCCGATCCCTTCACATGGCGCTGAGTTGATTGGATACAGACACACTGAAGCCGATGGCCCCCTTACACACTCGCTTTCTCTCCCCTAGACACACACTGCTCACACTGCGCCCTGACCCCCAGCTCTCGCCCCCCACGCTGATCTCACACGTACACCCCCCAGGTCTCTCTCTCTCTCTCTCTCTCTCTCACACACGCACACGCACACACACACAGCTGCTGCATCTCCCTGTTATGCAGTTCACTAGCAGGCCAGCCAAGTGCCCTGGCTCGGAGAGGTCAATTCCGGGCCCAGGCGGCTGATTCTCCTGTCCTGGTTTTGCTTGTGTGTTTTTGGTGGGACAGTGACACTCTTGGGGGGGGGAGGGGCCTCCCCATACCAGCCTGCCCCCCCCCCCGCCAAGAGTTTGCCCCAGCAGGCTGGGCAGCGAGGCAGCAGGAGACCAGCGTGGGGGCCCGGCGCTTGCTGCCCGTTGCTGTGTGGGAGCTGGCCCAGGGAATGAAGGGGATTAGCCGGCTGGAGCCACACGGGCAGGAAGGAAAAACAAACGATTCTGAGGGTCCCGGCTCTCACAGCCCCCGCTGGGAACCCGCCGGGCCCCTGGGGGAAAGCTGCCCGGGGCGAGATCAGAACCAGGCCCCCATCTCTGTGCAGGGGGCTCCTGTTCTCTGATCCCCCCCCCCGGCTAGCTCCACCCCACCTGGCAAGGGGCGAGGGTCTCCCCCGTGACAGGCGGCACCCAGCTGGGATACAGGCCTGGGGGGGTGAGGGGAGACCTGTGCCTGCCCTATCCATTGGGGGGCATTGCCAGGCTGCCGCTGTGGGGCAGGGGGCATGGGGGCAAAGCGAGAGGGGGCAGCAAAGGGAGCTTTCTGGGCGGTCTGGGGCTTTGATTTGGTCAGCCTTCATAGGAGGGGAGGGAGGGAGTGTTTGGAGCAGCCTGCCCCCCCTCCTCCCCCCGCACACTTGTTCCCCAGCGTCTTTGAGCTCCCTGTCTGGCTCACAGAGCGAAGGGAAGGGCAGGGCTCACAGATCTGACCCATGGGGCTGTACAGCTGCGCGTGGGGCTAGCCCTGGCCTCCTGAGCAGAGAGGGGACCTCTCGAAGCGTGGGGCAGATCCAGCCCCACCTCTGGCCCTTGTTGTTTGCCCAGCGCTGGTTCCATAGGGGGCTCAGCCCTCAAACATGTGGCGTTGCCGTGCGGCGGTTAAACAGCTGCCACGTCCCACCCCAGAGGCAGCTGCATTCCGGCGCGGGGCGAGCGATTCCCCTGGGCCCAGAGCCGCTTGCGGAGGCAGCAGGCCACTGAGGGTCGGAGTGGCCGTTTGCGAAGCGCCACGGAGCTGCACCCACCCCCCCACCCCCCAACTGTCCATTTGTGATTTCATCCCTGCCTGAGCCAGGACAGAGCTTTGGCCCCTCGCCCAGGCCGGACCCACGCCGCCCCGCCCCGCCCGGCTTCCCTCTCACTCTGGAAAGTCCGAGGGGGTGGCTGCAGCCTGGCCCAGGCCCCCGCACAGGTCCCAGCCCAGGCCCGGCCGCGCTGAGAGCCCACGGCCTGGCCCCATTCTCCCTCCCGGGAGCCGGGCTCAGCCTGTGGAGTTAACCCTTTGGCGTCCAAAACGGGTTCCCTCCCCCGGCGATTGGGCACGGGGTTGCTGGGCCAGGGCAGATGTTGCGAGCTCTGGGCAGCTGGGATGGGAGCGAGTGAGAGCAGCCAGGATGGGGTCTGGGCCCGGGAGGGCTGCCTGCAGGGTGGGGCCGAGAGCGGCTGGGGACACCCCAGGGAACTGGTGCTGCCTGACATGCCCCCTCCGCCCCGCCCTGGTGTGGGGCTCGCTCCCTCTGGCTAGCTGGGGGGCAGGCAGGCTGGCTGGGCTACGGGAATGTTGCTGAGGGGCTGGGCTGGGGGGTGTCTGCAGGCCGCTGGCACTGGAGGTTACTGGGGGCTGAGACGGTGGGCAGGTGATGGTGGGTGAATGGTTGTGGGATGTATAAGGTGGGCTGTGCCCAGCGTACAAGCAGGGGGTGGGGATGAACTTTGTACCCAGGGGGGGCTGCGTCCAGGGGCACTGGGGGGAGTGACTGGTTGTGGGGTTTGTACCTGGGGCTGGGCTGTTCCTCGGGGGGCAGGGGCCTGGGGGGAGTGACTAGTTGTGGGGTTTGTACCTGGGGTGAGCTGTGCCTGGGGGGTGAGTGGTTGTGGGGTTTGAACCTGGAGCTGGGCTGTGCCTGGGGGGGCAGGGGGCTGGAGAGGGTGACTGGTTGTGGGGTTTATACCTGGGGTGGGCTGTGCCCGGGGGGGGCAGGAGGCTAGGGGGTGGCCGCGGGAGCACGGCCTGGCTGCCCGGCCTCGGCCCCGGGGTCTTGTCGGGGGCGCCAGGCAGCTGGGGCTCTCAGGCGTGTCCCGGGGAGGCTGGGTGGGCAGCGCGGGGGGGAGGAGGCGGGGGGCTCTCAAGCGTGTCTGGGGGACGCTCGGGGCCAGTCCTCAGCACGATGGCCCCTGGGGCTGGCGGGGGGTGGAGACAACCCCCTCCCCAGGACAGCCGGTGCCTGGCTGGGGCGGGGCCCCAGCGTGGGGCCGGGCAGCAGCTGGCAGGGGCTGGGGGGGCCGGGGGAACATTCTCCGGCTAATCCCGCTGCCTGCTCCCATTGCCGGGCCCAGCCCCTGCTCGCTTGGGGCAGCTGTCATGAGCAGCTGAGCTCGGTTCATCTGCCCCAAACCCAGTCCCCCCTTCCCCCATCCCCGATCCCTCCAGGCCTGGCAGCTCCCCCTGCGCAGCCCAGGAGCCTGGGAGCTGCCGGGGGGGGGCTGTTTGGGGGGAAGCTGGGGTGTGGTAGGGCAATGGGCAGAGTGGGTGCCAATGGGGCTGGGGGGGGAACAAATGTGGGGGTGTGGTCCCTGGGGACAGGTCAGGGACAGCAGGGGCGGGGTCACTGGGGAAGAGGCGGGGTCACTGGGGGCAGGGATGAACAGCAGGGGCGGGGTCACTGGGGAAGGGGGCGGGGTCACTGGGGGGTGGCTGGGACTGGCTGCTGGGATGGGGTCACGGGTCAGGGAACAGGTGGGTTACATCAGTGGGTCAAACAGAGGGACAATTTTGGGCACAACCCATTGGGGCGGGCTTGTGATGTCAGAGGAAACGGCCAATCAGCACACTGTTGACTGGTAGCTCATTGACATACTGCCCTCGGGTTGGTTCTCAAGCAGGGGGGGTGCGGTCGAGAGTTCGCAGGTTCTGGTGCCCAGCGTGGGGTCTGGGGACGGGTGAATCATGCAGCCCCTCTCCCCGGTAAGGGGCCAGTCCCACACGCCAGGGCTGACGCCTCCCGACATTGAAATACCTCCCCGGCTCCGTCCACCTGTCCGTCCAGCCGCCCGCCCGCTCCCACCCCGGCTCCGTCTGTCTGTCCGTCCAGCCGCCCGCCCGCTCCCACCCCAGCTCCTTCCATCCGTCCAGCCGCCCGCCCGCTCCCACCCCGACTCCGTCTGTCTGTCCGTCCAGCCGCCCGCCCACTCCCACCCCGGCTCTGTCTGTCCGTCCAGCCGCCCGCCCGCTCCCACCCTGGCTCTGTCCAGCTGCCCGCTCCCACCCCGGTTCCGTCTGTCCCTCCGTCCAGCCGCCCACCCGCTCCCACCCTGGCTCCGTCAGTCCCTCCCTCCATCCAGCCGCCCGCCCGCTCCCACCGCGGCTCCGTCCGTCTGTCTGTCCATCCAGTCCCTTCCCCAGTGACCCCACCCCTGCTGTTCATCCCCATCCACCCTCCCTGCCGCCACGGCTCTGCCTCCCGACCGGCTGTGCCAGCCAGCCGGGCCGTGGTGCAGTGCATGGGCAGGGCGGCTGTGGCAGACCCCCGGGACACAGCAGGCAGTGACCGCCGGCAGGGCGGCCCCTCCGGGAGGTGGCAGGGCCGGGCAGCTGCGTGTCCCCCAGTGAACCCCGTGGTCCAGGCCTGGGGCGGCCGGCACGGCTTCCTGCCGGGGCCTGGTGCCGGGAGGGGAGCCCTGCGGGAGGCCTCACGCCGCACATCAGGCCCCCTCCGCCCCCGGCTGCGCTCCCAGCCGCCCGCTGGCTCCCTCCAGCGCCGTGGTGAGCTCATCCCTCCGGAGACGGCGGGCTGGGCTGCTCCGCGCTGAGCTCAGGCGTCAGCAATGAGAGCGGTGGGGGGTGGCCGGAGCCGCGGGGCTGGGAAACCGAGCTTCTCGCTGGGGCTGTTTTCCCTGCTCGGAGCCCCGGGAAACCTCCCAGCCCCTCGGCCCGGGGACCCAGCGCCTCCTGCTGGCCCAGCGGTGCCGCAAAGCCCTCTGGGGGAAGGGTGGCAGGGTCCCCCCCCAGCCACCTGCCTGATCGCCCCCCTGCCTGGTGTAACTGAGCCTTGTAAACTCGTTACATGCATGGAGCTGGCGTGTCCAGGGGGGTTACGCCCCAGAGGGGGGCCCCTGTGCAGCCTCGGGTCTCTCCCCTCCTCTGGGGGGCTGGGCAGGGGGCAGAGCTTGTGGTGCTGGCGTGAGCACCTGCCAAGCGGGTGACGTGCTGGGATGGGATCAGCCGTCAGAAAGGCAGCAGCAGGGCGGGGCGGGGGGAGCCGGGCGGGCAGGGGACCCCACAGCTGGGCGCAGATGTTCGCCGTCTCCAGCCACCGCCCTGTCCTGGGGCGCGTTTTGGGGCCCCGTGGACGTGCCGTCCTGCGCACCGGCCCCTCCGATCCCGCCGCAGAACTGACCCCCCCCACCTTCCAATCCCCTGCAGGACCAGGGTGCTTCTGGGGGAGGTTGGGGGGATCCTCCTAGTGCGGGGACGGAAAAGGGGGATCTGAGTGTGGCCTGCCCCAGTCCCAAGGGCCTAGACATGGGGGGGAGGGTCGGACCAGAGCAGGTGTAGCTCAAGGGGGGCTGTTCCCCCCTCCAGGGATTTAAACCTGGTGCCCCTGGGTTTAAATCCCTGGGACACTGACCCCCTCTCTGCAAGGCTCCAAGCAATAACCACTGGGGAGGTGTGGGGGGATGCACAGGTCATTTTCAAACCCGGGTGCCTAACGCCCCAGCTGTGGGGTGCATCCCCTGGGGCGGGGGCTCGGCGGGCTGGGTGCAGGATCGGGCCCATGCTGCTCTGCTCAGACCCCTGGCAACATGGAACAAAGGAGCCAGTTTCTCAGCGTCCCCCCACCCCCAGCTGCTGCCCCTCCTGGAGCCAACAGCTGAGCGGCTCCCTTTGGTGGACAAAGGCGGGGGGGGCCTTGGGAACAGCAGCTGTTCCCCCCCCCCCCCGCCCCAGCCCCTCTCCGAGCCAGAACAAATCAGGATTGGAGCCCTGGCACTGCGGCTGGCAGGGCTGGGCCGCTCTGGGCCAGTCTCTTGTCCCCCGCATCCCCCACAGTTGCCCCATCCAGGCCTGACCGCGGGGGTGCTCCCTGATCTCCCAGACCTGGCCCCCAGTTGCCAGAGAGGGACCAGCCCCCCCAGGTTTCCTCAAGGTCAGAGGCTGGCTGGGCAGGACGCCCGGCCTGCGCCAGGGACCCGGCCCCTCTGCGCCCGCTCAGCGGCCTCCCCCGCGCTCCCCTCCCCCCACCCCCCGGGATCGATGGAGCCTGGCTGGGAACATCTGCAGCCCATTTCCTCCCTGGGCCAAATCCAATTGCTTTTTCCATGTCCACCGCCCCTCCCCACCCGACGGGGGCCGCAGCGCAGAGCCCCCCGCCCCTGCCGAGCTTCCCAGCTCCCCTCACCCCCCTCATCTAGTGTCCCGGCTCCCCTCCCCACCCGCCGGAGGCCGCAGCGCAGAGCACCCCCGCCGAGCGTCCCGGCTCCCTTCCCCCCCTCACCTAGCATCCTGGCTCCCCTCCCCCACCTGCCGGGGGCCGCAGCACAGAGCCCCCGCCCCTGCCGAG